GTATGAACATCAGAGGTCTACAGTTTTTCAATGTTCTCCCAGCAAACATAAGAAACATTGCTGGTACAAAAAATAGTGTTAAAGGGAAAATTAGACACTGTACTGTACTTAAAGAAGTACAGTACTGAGCCATGTTATCACAAATTGAGCCTGGCCCCAAGTTGGGGTTGGATAGTAGTAGTAGAACTCCCAGAACCCTCCCCCTCCCCCCACCCCACCCTTTTGCTCCCCACACCCTCTTCCCACCCTACCTTCACCCTAATGCTTTGTTTGTCCATTTGTCAGAAAGTTCTCACCAAATTGATTGGGAGAGCTTCTTCAATAATGCAATTTGAAATCACTTTCAATAGAAATATTATTGAATCTGCTTTAATACAGATTACAAAATCATGTAATTTGAACATGTGTTGGTTTGTATAATTTGGATCCATTTTTGATTGTTCAGTTAAAGGGCAATTTGAGGGGAGGGATCATCGATACACATTTATCTCAATAATACCTTATTAATATCCCACCTCATTAAAGACGTTGTTTCTCACCTCACCTTATTCCTGCCTATATATCCTCACCACTGAATTGTAAATCCATCCTTCTGAAGATGTATTATTAAATATGAAAGTACTGTACTTAAGGACATTACTGTCTTAATCCTTCCTTCATGGTCTGACATTGTCACAGTGTTCATCATGCATTAATTTCTTTATGATTTACACACATTAAAATTTGGGGGCCTTGTGGCTGAGTGGACAGTGCTCGGTAGTCCTAAGGGCCCGGGTTTGATCCCTGGTGGAGGCGGAAACAAATGGACAGGGTTTCTTTAGTCTTGAGGGCCCCTGTTCACCTAGAAGTAAATAGTTACCTGGGAGTTACAGCTGTTATAGGCTGCTTCTTGGGGATGTGTGTGTCAGAGAACTATTTGTAGTAGATACTATGAAGGAAATAAAGATTGATTAGAAAGGTGGGGTCCAAGAGCTAATAGCTCGATCATGCAGACAAATAATAAATATTTGCGCACACATATGAATGACACTGGGTTAAGTAAGGAAATCCAACAGCAAAAAAAAAAAAAACTTTTGTCAGTACAGATGGAGAAAGTTACACAGGGAATAGAACAGTGCAAGAAGGATATGCAACTCGCCTATCCACAAGTGGCCAAGGAGAAGGGGAAAAGTAGAAGAAACAGTAAAGAAAGCCAAACACTGCAGCAATTAGGACAAAATGAACATTAGGCTGGAAGTCAGAAAGGAATTGGCATCAAACCTGATTTCAGGAGAGGACATTATGGGGAACTTAAAAATTTCTTTGGGGAATTTGACTGGAAAGACTTGCTGTTAGGCAAGGAAGTAAATTAAATGTATGTCAAGTTTTGTGAAATATATGATAAAGGCACAAACAAATTTATACCAAAGGAGAGATGCAGAACTAGGAAACAGAATTGGTTCAACAGAAATTGCGAGAAGACCAGAGTTCAAAAGACACAAAAATGGAATCAATATATAGAAAAAGGTCAATCCCCAAACATCAGCGATACAACGAAGCAAGAAATAATTACACAGCAGTGAGGAGAGAGGCAGAAAGAAATTTTGAGAAAGGGATAGCAGACAACTGTAAAACAGAACCAGATCAATTCTATAAGTTCATCAACAGCAAATTGCAGGTAAAGGATAGTATTCAGAGATTGAAAATGGGAAACAGATTCACAGAAAATGAAATGAGTGTGAGAAACATTAGACAAAAAGTTTCAAAGTGTGTTCATACAAATTAAAATCGTCAGAGAACCAGATACAATAAATATTCCAGAGAACAACATAGAGCACATAGAGGTGTCTAGAGACGAAGTGGGAAAAATCATAAAGGAGCTAAGAAAGAATAAAGCAGTTGGCCCAGACGGAGTTTAACCATGGTTTCTGAGAGAATGTGCACCTGAGCTCAGCATTCCACTTCAACTGATTTTTCAGATATCCCTGTGTACAGGAGTTGTAGCAGAAGTGTGGAAAAAAGGCTAGCAAAGTTCTAATTTACAAAAATGGCAGCAGGGAAGCCCCCCTCAATTATAGATCTGTATCACTGAAAAGTGTAATAGTCAAAATATTGGAAAAAGTTATTGTAACTAAATAGGTAGAAACATCTGGAGAAAAAGTACATAACAGGCATACAGTATGGTTTTCTATCGAAGATCTTGTGTAACGAATTTGATCAGTTTTTATGATCGATCCACAGAGATTTTACAAAAAAGAGATGATTGGGTTGACAACATCTATCTGGAACTAAAAAAAGGCTTTCGACAGAGTTCCACGTAAGAGGTTGTTCTGGAAACTGGAGCATTTTGGAGGAATGACAGGTAGGCTTCTAACATGGATGAAAAATTTTATAACCGACAGAAAAAACAAGGGCAATGATCAGAGGCAATGTATTGGTCTGGACAAATGTCACGGGTGGAGTACCACAGGGTACAGTTCGTTCACTGGTAATGTTCATTGTCTACATAAACGATCTACCAGATGGAATACAGAATTATGTGAACATGTTTGATGATGATGGTAAGATAATATGGAAGATAAGAAACTTAGATGATTGTCATGCTCTTCATGATGACCTGGACAAAATAATTATATGGAGCACCACTTTGCAAATGGAATTTAATGTGAATAAATGCAGTGTTATGGAATGCGGAATAGAAGAACATAGACCCCAAACAACCTATAAATTGTGAGAAATCTTTAAAGAATTGAGAGGTTATCTTGAGATGATTTCGGGGCTTTGTTAGTGTCCCCGCGGCCCGGTCCTCGACCAGGCCTCCACCCCCAGGAAGCAGCCCGTGACAGCTGACTAACTCCCAGGTACCTATTTACTGCTAGGTAACAGGGGCATTCAGGGTGAAAGAAACTTTGCCCATTTGTTTCTGCCTCGTGCGGGAATCGAACCCGCGCCACAGAATTACGAGTCCTGCGCGCTATCCACCAGGCTACGAGGCCCCCTGGTGGGTGGTTCTAGATAGAAAACTATCGCCTAAGGACCACATAAAGAACATCGTGCGAGGAGCCTATGTTACACTTTCTAATTTCAGAATTGCTTTTAAATTCATAGATGGTGAAATACTAAAGAAATTATTCATGACTTTTGTTATACCAAAGTTGGAATATGCAGCGGTTGTATGGTGCCCATATCTTAACACTTTCGCCCGGGCATGACGCAGCATTGCGTCATCCGTTTACTGTCGGTAATTCCGGGGATGGCGCAGCATTGCGTCATCCACTTTAAATAATCGCCAAAAATCAGGTTTTTATCCGATTTTTTGGGGACTGGTTTTAAAATGCGCGCCGATGTCTTCCCATTTTCTTTGTTGAGCCTTGTGGCCCTCAGGCGGCTTGGCACATGCCGTGGGCCCATTGTTTTCGCTCCACTGTTGTGACCAATGTCGCCTCCCCTCGCATCTCAAACGTGTGAACATTTCGGCTATTTTCCGTGGCTATATTTCTTACTGCGGCTTTAGAAACCATCTAAGCTTACTCCACGATGGATAGTGATCATGGACAAGGCCCTTCCAGGAAGAAAATTGCGAAAGAAAGGCTTGAAAAGGGCGGGAATTGGGAGTGTAGCTGGAAGGCATCTGAGCACACACTTGCGGCTAACGCGTGGCCCGTCTTCAACTCGTCGGCGGTTGGAGCGTGACCAGGTTTTTTATTTTATATGCTAATGTTCCTCTAGAGAATTCTATTGCGAACCCATTGAGACCAAAATGAAAGACCTAGGACAAAAATTGAGGTGACCAGAGTGAAAATAGTGAAAACATTTTATCGTGTTTGCGCGCTCCTGGGTAACTCGTTCGCACTTTCTCTGGTTGCTGCGGGTAATTAGCCGGGCTTTTGGAGTTTATATGCATTTAGTGCTGTAGAGAATTCTATTGCGAACACACTGATACCAAATTTAATCTCGTAGGACGAGAATTAAGGTGACAAAGTTGAAGAGAGTATACACTTTTCAGAATTTACGCGCGCTCCCGTGACACCCTGAATCCCATATCGCACAGTTGAGGGGTGGCGCGCGGGGTACGCCAAAGTGTTAAGAAGCACACCAACAAACCGGAAAAAGTGCAAAGACATGCAACTAAATGGCCCCCAGAACTGAAGGACAAGAGCTACAAGGAGAGATTAGAGGCATTAAATATGCCAAAACTAAAAGATGAAATTAGAAGCCAAAACATTGCAAGAAGGAAAAGAAGCTTTATGATCACTACGTACAAAATAGTAACGAGAATCGATAAAATTGATAATGAAGAATTCCTGATACCTGGAACTCAAGAACAAAGAGGACATAGATTTAAACAAACTAAACAGAGATGCCGACAAAATATAAGAAAATTCACTTTGACCAACAGAGTGGTAGATGGTTGGAACAGGAACAAGTTATGTGAAAAGGTGGTGGAGGCCAAGAACCAACCGTCAGTAATTTCAAAGCGTTATATTAGTGTTGGTAAGACGGGACACCACGAACATGGCTCTCATCCTGTAACTACACCTAAGTAATTACATATAATGTATGTGTGTTGTACCTAAGAAGTCAAATTTTCCTGACATCATATATTTTTTAAATTTTTCTTGCGTGTTGTATAAAAAATGCAGATACCAAAAAAATCCCCTCCAAACTAACATAGAAATTTGATTAGACCTATCCAATCCTAACATAGCTAAGTCAATTATTCATGTTCCTAATATAATAAATTATTACTGGTTCTTTTCTAATCTGAAAAGAGATTTGAAAACAAAAATTAAGGGAAATCAGACCTTGCAAACTTGACCAAATACAGTAGTGTGAATATTAGTCTTGGTGGGGGTGTTCATATTTCATCACAACTTGTATTTTAAAGATTGTATCATGACCTTTGTAATCAGGGACTTGCCTGACAAAAAGAAGTGGGAATATTGGTATGGATTGGCTTTGATTTACAAATATAAAGCAAAAAGAAATATATTTCTAACTCGTCATTCATATGCCTGCAGGTGTATAAGAATGTGTGCGCTGCATGCCATTCTATGAAGTACGTTGCGTACCGTAACCTGATTGGAGTTTCTCACACCGAAGAAGAAGCCAAGGAAGAAGCCCAGTCCGTAATGGTAAGTCTGTGCTGCAGGTGTCTGCAGTTCTCCTTAGTGCTGTATTTTAGCTTGCTAATTTATTCCAGTCTTGCAGGCGATGAGTCACAATAACGTGGCTGAAGTATGTTGACCAGACCACACACTAGAAGTTGAAGGGACGACGACGTTTCGGTCTGTCCTGGACCATTCTCAAGTCGATTGTGATGAGAACAAGTAGGGACAGGCAATAAATAGGCAAGAGAGAGCTGAGGAGGAAAGTAAGGTGTAGGGGATAGTAGTAATAATGAGAACTGCAGAAGGCATATTGGCCCATACGAGGCAGCTCCTATTATAACTACCGAAGGAGATAGTAATGGAATAAGAAGAGGATAGCAAGGGAGCGTAGGAGAAGACAATGCACAGAAAAAGGGAGAAGAGAGAAAGAAAAGGAAAGAGAAAAAGAAAAAGAAAGATAAATGGAAGGGGTAAGCTTATGTTAAGTCACGTTTGTTAGAAAGATTAGAGCATTTGAGTATATACTGTGAAAGGGAAGAGTCCACAGCAACAAAGCCAGGACTCAAGTTCATGTTGGGTACATTGTGTATAAGAGCCGATTCTACAAGACGGCGTCTGTGTAGAGTAGAGGCAGGAAAGATTATTTTGGAGGAAGACCAATCAATGGGATGATTGGTCTTCCTCCAAAATAATCTTTCCTGCCTCTACTCTACACAGACGCCGTCTTGTAGAATCGGCTCTTATACACAATGTACCCAACATGAACTTGAGTCCTGGCTTTGTTGCTGTGGACTCTTCCCTTTCACAGTATATACTCAAATGCTCTAATCTTTCTAACAAACGTGACTTAACATAAGCTTACCCCTTCCATTTATCTTTCTTTTTCTTTTTCTCTTTCCTTTTCTTTCTCTCTTCTCCCTTTTTCTGTGCATTGTCTTCTCCTACGCTCCCTTGCTATCCTCTTCTTATTCCATTACTATCTCCTTCGGTAGTTATAATAGGAGCTGCCTCGTATGGGCCAATAGGCCTTCTGCAGTTCTCATTATTACTACTATCCCCTACACCTTACTTTCCTCCTCAGCTCTCTCTTGCCTATTTATTGCCTGTCCCTACCTGTCCTCATCACAATCGACTTGAGAATGGTCCAGGACGGACCGAAACGTCGTCGTCCCTTCAACTTCTAGTGTGTGGTCTGGTCAACATTCCAGTCTTGATGGCAGAGAAGGGGGAGGATTTGAGGATGTGGGTTTTCCCTTTTGGTTATGTGGTTGCTCTTGTTTCTCCCCACTCAATTTACCTCTGAGGGGCCGGATTCTGATCCTGTTCTCTAATATAATAGCCGGGTGCGGTACCTAGGTCTGGAGATCTAGCTGGAGTTTAGCTTAAATGAGATACAGAGGGGACCCACCTGAAAGGGGCCTTTATTTCGTTTAATTCAATGTTTTGTTTTCCTAACTTGATTTTATATTATTTTATATTTGGTGCTAATAACTTTGACATTGCATTTCCAGAAATATTTTCTTAATATGCCTAACACAATTATTACCCTTCCTTTCCTTGTCCTTGTTTCCTCTTGCCACTTCGGAGAAATGGGGAGGGGGTTTTGAGGGTTTTTATCTAGCTTGTGGGGTTTTTCCTTCCCACCCATAGGGAATGGGAGGGTTGCCCCCCCCCCCTTTCAGCAGTGCCAATATCCCTGCATCAAAACCAGACTAAAAGAAACAAACCAGTTAGTTGTTCATCTCTCAGAAGTTGTGATGATGATGGTTACTTTGTTTTGGTTATATTGCATTGGTTATGAGAATCAACGTGTCTATGGCCTGGTTAATTAGGAATCCTTTGGAAGTGTTTATTAATTTCTCTTTTGTGAGCACCTTGAGAAGTCGGCTAGTTATGCTGCTTGTGTATAGAATGTGTGTTAAAGTCTCAAGCCCTTCATGTTGATGGTATTCTCTGTGTACCTATTGCACCTCTGCTTTTCAATGGGCTTATTTTGTACATCCTACCATGCATCCTTGTCTCATGAGGTGTTATGTCTGTGTGGAAAGGTGCAAGAATTCTTACATTCTTCCACCTTCTCTTCCTCTATATGCTATAAATTTTAAAATTTTGCATAAGCTTATGTTCAGTGAGGAAGGGGTATCATTTTTGTTTTTAAGAATTAATATTGTTTTTACATGTGTTGGTGAATGCTTAGCATATAGATCCTTGATTCACTATGACCAAAGCATATCTAGTTATTTTAAAACAAAACAAAAATGAAGATTTTCATGGTCTGTGACATTTTAGGGAAGCAGCAGAGAAATGAGAAAATTACATTGCTTTCATTTATATTGGACTTTTTTCCAGATTCCAGATGGACCTAATGAAGAGGGTAACATGTTTGAGAGACCAGGCAAACTGTCTGATGTGTTTCCTAGTCCTTATGCTAATGATGAAGCTGCTCGCCATGCCAACAATGGTGCCTTGCCTCCAGACCTTTCTTACATTGTATTAGCCCGACATGGTGGAGAGGTATGTTCAATGCGTTTGTTTGGTATTAATTGTAGTAAGTAGCTTTTTATCTATTAATATTATGCATTAGATTATCCTAAATACTGTGTTTATTTTAACCCCTAGTCTTTTATTTTATTTATTTATTGTATTTTATTTATACAAGAAGGTACATTGGGTTTGTGAGAGTACATAACATTGGTGGTTTTACATTCTTGTAAAGCCACTGACATGCATAGTGTTTCAGGCTGGTCCTGGTCTATTATTAATAGGTACATTGTAGTAAAATTTGAGTTTAAAATAATAAGTACGATGTAAGTTGATGGCAGTGATTACAATGGTGAAGTGGAATGTCTTGCGCACTAATATTGGGGGAGTGGGTAGCACAAGATAGAGTCGAGTTTGAAGCACTGGGTAGAAAACTGATGATAAAATTAGGTAGATGAAGGTAGTGTCGTCAGCAAATGGTATAGGTTTAAGAATGTTAGAAACATTTGTCAAATCATTAACGTATATAAGAAATAAGAGGTTCCAAGATGCTTTTCTGTGGCACTCCTACGATTAAAGGTAGAGTGGGGGAGGTTATGTCATTGATGGCTATGTATTTGTGTCTGTCACTAAGATAGGATTGAGTAGTCTTTATTTATTCTTACAGAATTACATCTTCTCCTTGCTAACTGGGTACTGTGACCCTCCTGCTGGTGTACAAGTGCGTGAGGGTCTCTACTACAATCCTTACTTTCCTGGCGGGGCTATTGGAATGGCTCAGGCACTCTACAATGAGGTGAGTAGGGTAAAGTGCTCTCTCGTCATTATTAAATAAGGAAAAGTTATGGTTTTTACTTTTTCTAATGTTTTTGCGTGATGTCTTGAGCACCTCGTCACATTGACTGAGGTGCTTGTGTATGATCATGAAATTTAACTTTCCTTCACTTATATTTTAGTCATTAATTTACATATGACCAAAATAGTGTGCTTTCTGTTGTAGTAAATTAATGTAGCTCATTGGTGACTTTTCTCCGTTATTTTGGTTAATGTCTTGACTTAATTATTGACTTGAAAAATTATAACTCATGATCACAATCTGAGCTTTCTATTAATATTACGCATGGTATCACAGCCAGGAAGACAATTATAATGTACAGTAATCCAAATATGAAAATTGGTTCCACCAAAATTAGCTAGCAGAAAACTGAGAATCCTTAACTATAGCTACAGCAGTTTTGGGTAATCTTCGGAATAGCTGAAGTAGTCAGTATGAACGTTCTCTCTGGAATTTTATGGTAATAGACTATCGTAAGGAATTCTGCGGATCCCACTTGAACACTATCGCACTCCGATGTCGCAAACATCGTCATCTGTTTTTCTCCCTATTTTCAGCGGATGACTATCGTATCCATTAAAATATTTGAAAAAAAAAAATCAATTTTTATAGAATCAACTTCTTGGTGGTTTCAAAATGAACGCCATTAGAGTGCTCACAATTTGATACCAAAATGAAAGACGTACCCCAAAAATTTGTCAGAACAGTGGAAAGATATAAATAATTTTGTGGTGATGTGCGTCAAAAAGTCGTCAAACATTAAAATATTTGTTAAAAGTCCATTTATTGTTCTATTATTATGGAACTAGTTTTTAAATACATGCCTTTATATTGCGCACAATTTGATACCAAAATGAAACACATAACACGAAAATTGATGTTATCAAACTGAACGAGTATATACATTAGTCTGCAGATGTGCCAATTGGTGCTCATTCACGGGTAACTTGGCCGAATTTAGGCTTTGCTGTGGGGAGTCACGCCTGGCTTTTAGACCTTGTATGCATATACCCCTGTAGGGAATTCTATTGTGAACACAATGATACCAAAACGAACGATGTAGCACGAGAATTAAAGTGAGAAAACTGAAACAAGTATACACTTTTCGGTGTCGCCGCGTGCTCCCCTGAAACGTCAGGAGCATGATGTCAGTCTGCAGCGCGCCCGCGCAGAGTGCGATAGTGTTAAATAGCAATCAAAATAAAAATGGCAATGTTTACACCACCATCGCCCCCTCCCCGCTCAGCTCGTTGTCGCCGTCTGGGGGCTTAGTGGGCGGCTGCCGGAGTGTGATGCTCCTTGGGACAGTCCTCTGTCCTTTTCTAGCCTTGTGCTCCTGCTGCCGTCCTCTCCAATTCTGCTGGGCATCTTTTCCTTTTCCTTCTGTTTCGTTTTTCTCCCCCCTCTTCTCCTATCTGCTTGCCGTTTCCTGCCGACCTTTTGCTCGTTCTGGTTCTTCCCTTGGACTTCTTCTACTTTGACGCCCGGGTGCTTGAGGAGGCATACTCTTGCACCCGTAGAACTGCAGTACCCGACGTCGAGAGCGAGGGGAACCTTTTATTGTCAATCCCCACTTCGTCACTGAACCCGATCTCGACGGACTGTCGGTTTCTTAAGGTGGCGTTTGTGGGGCGTATACTCACGACGCACCCCTAGGAGGCCCCGACAAGATCGGCGATAGCTTCTTGTTGGGTGTCCTGCCTCTAATTGTGGCTCCATGGTGGGTGTGGGGGCACATTCGTGAGTGAATTCGTAATTTCGTCAGGATGATAACCCCTGTTTCGGCTGCTTCTGGCTTACCTTTTCAGGCTCGTGGGGTGGGCGACCAAGCCCCCGAGTCGGTCCGTATTGGAAGACCGGGCTCTGTAGCCTCCGCTGCATTGGGCCCCGACCTTGCTCCTCCTTTGGCCTCTCTGACTCCTTCCCCTGGCTCCCCTCCCTCCTCTGTGGTTGGGTCGAGCCCCAAGCCCCCAGTGGTGACTACCTCGTCCCCTGGCGCGGCTCCTTCTCTAGTTGTAACTACTGCGCCTTTTAACCCCTCTCTCTCTGGGGGTTCTCACCGCCGTTCTCGTCACGGCCGCCCTCGCTCGATTCCTTCCAGTTCTGCTACCTATCAAGCCTTGTTTGGTCCCGCTTCGTGGGCCAAATATTTTGATCTCCTCCCTCTTGATTCTGCGCCTCCTGACGATTTCTCCCTTCATCGACATCTCATTGATTCCGTGGATGCCTCCATTACTTTTAACCCCACTCGTCTCGGTACGCGTGTCGTTGCTGCTCCTTCTCAGGATGCTGCTTCCCGCTTGGCTGCCTTATCCTGCCTTGGCGAGACCCCCGTTCGGGTCTCGAAGAACGTTCAGTTGAATGCCAGTGTTGGCACTATTTTGCTCCCGCCCCATGTTGCGACCGGTGTTCGGGACCTACGCGACTGCCACGACGATATTCGACATATCCTCGCTGCCCAGGGCCATTCTATTCTCCAGGTGGACACGTTTACTCGTCCCCCTCGTGGTAGTCGCCGTCAACCCCTCCGGGTTGTGAAGATTACCTTTGATGGTAGGACCCTTCCACCCTCTGTCATTCTTGCTGGTGCCAGGTGCTCTGTCCAGGAGTACATTCCTTCTCCTCGGCTCTGCAACAAGTGCTGGAGGTTTGGGCATGGTGCCCTCCGCTGCTCCGGGACTGTCTCTCTCTGTCCTTTGTGTGGTGGCGAAGGTCACTCTAAGTCGGAGTGCGCTTCTCCCCAGGCTCGTTGCCTCAACTGCGGTGAGGCCCATCCTACCTTCTCCCGTGCGTGTGTCCATTACAAGCTTGAGGCAGCCGTCCTCAACTTGAAGCACCGGGAGCGTTTATCTTTTCCTGAGGCGAGGCGCCAGGTTCGCCGGCTCCCGCCTTATGCTAATATCTCTTATGCTCGCGTGTTGCGCTCTTCCTCTCCTCGTCCTTCCCGCCTTCTTCAGACTCACAACCGTTTCCAGGCCTTGGACCCTGATGCGCCCACTGCCCCCTCCTCTGTCCCTTTGGGTTCTCTCCCGAAGGATCCTCCTCCTGGTCCTCTGTCTGGGGTTCCCCTTCCTTCTACCCGGTCTGTCGTGTCTTCTGTGTCTCCTTCCTCGTCCCCCTCCGATCCTCCTTCCCATCCTCTTCCTCCATCTATCGGCTCTCCCCGCCGCCTGTCGGTGCGGGCGGATGTCCATCGCTCTCCTAACGGCCGTCGTGTGTGCTCTCGTTCGGCTTCTCCTGTTGAGACACTGGAATCCGTTGCCCGGTACGTAGTTGCTGGGACACCGGTCTCTTTAAGTCAGAAGCGTAAGCCTGGCTCCTCTCCTTCCTCTTCCCCGGCGGGTAAGAAGGCTTCGCTTTCTTCCTCAGCTCCTCCTTCTGGCTCTGTTGCTCCTTCCACTCCCGTTTCAGTGCTTGCGCCCCCTGTTCCTGCTATGGAGGTTTCTTTGGCCCCTGCTTCCCTTTCGGTTGCTGCTCTTGCTGGGGTGCGCTCCTCTCTTTCTACTCCCCCTCTTCCTGCTGCTGTCCTTGACTGCTCCTCTCCGTTGTCTCCTCCTCCTCCTCCTCCTCCTCCGGACCCTGCCCGCCCACCTCTGATCTGTTCTCCCGTTTCCTTCCCTCCGTCTTTGCTCAGTTTACCCATGCCCCCTAACCCTGACTTTGCTGACCCTGATCCCGACCCTGATATTCTTTAACGTGCTCTGTTGGTCTTTCGCCTTTGTTTCTTCCTTGTTCTCTGTTTTTGTCCTTTCTCTTCTCGTCGTTGTCCATTCTTCAATGGAACGTTCGAGGTTATTACGCCAATTTCCTCGAACTCCAACTTCTGGTTTCGCGGTTTTCGCCCCTTTGTGTCTGTCTCCAGGAGCCGATGCTTGGTGCTCGTCCTGGTCGTTTTCGTGGCTATTCCTTTCTCTCCCCCCCCCCCCAGCCATTGCTGGGGCTTCTAATTCTTCTGCTCTCTTGATTCGGGCTGATGTTCCCTTTGTTCCTTTACTTTTTCCTTCGCCTCTCCATTGTTCTGCTGCTCGTATCTTTGTGGGGAAATGGTACACAGTTTGTTCCATTTATCTCCCCCCGAGTGTCCCGCTCTCTCTTCCTGATTTGAAACACCTCCTAGACTCCTTGCCGGAGCCTGTGCTCCTGCTGGGTGACTTCAATTGTCGTCATTCTCTTTGGGGTGACGTTCTGACGAATACCCGGGGTCGCCTCCTTGAGCCGTTTCTCCTCTCTTCTTCCCTGTCTCTTCTGAATTCTGGTGAGCCCACTCATTTGGACTCTCGAACTCGCACCCTTTCTTGTCTTGATCTTTCTCTCTGCTCTTCTTCTCTTTACTTAGATTTCACATGGCAGGTTCTTGATGACCTCCATGGAAGTGATCATTTCCCCATCCTTGTTTCCTTTTTCTCTTTTCGCCCTTCCCTCTCTTTCCCTAGGTGGCAGTTTGCTAAGGCGGACTGGACCCTATTTTCCCTCAGTGCTACTCTCTCTGACCTCTCCCTTCTGCCCCTCTCTCGCGCTCTCCTCCTTTTTCATGACACTGTCTTCGACGCTGCCCTCCGCTCTATTCCTCGCTCTTCCTCTCGGGGTCCACGGAAGTGCGTTCCCTGGTGGAATGCGGACTGTGCTCGGGCTGTCCGCTGTAAGCGTGCAGCCTGGAAGAAGCACCGCCGTAGGCAGACGACCGATTCTTTTCTTTTCTTTCGGAAAGCGAGTGCGGTGGCCCGTAGGGCCATCCGTACGGCTAAACGTGAATGTTGGGCATCTTATGTCTCGACAATTACGTCCGAAACCCCTCTGGCCCAGATCTGGAAGCGTATCCGCAAGATAGCGGGTAAGTTCGTTCCCGATGTTTCACCGGTCCTTCACCTCCATGATACTCTTGTGGCGGACCCGTTGCAGGTCGCTTCCGAACTGGGTTCCCACTTTTCTTCTGTTAGCTCTGGTCTTCATCTTCCCCAATC